TGGGGAGAGGGCCCTGCACACTGCTTCCCTCTCCTGCTTAGTTGTTGGGGAAAGGAGAAAGTTGGGCACACAGATCCTGCTACGTGGTTCTGAGGTCAAGTGGGAACCTGAAATGCACTTCTCTTGAAGCACGGGCAGGGGCCGCCCCAGAGAACCCAGGCCACTGCAGCTGGCACAGGGTTGACACAGTCTACCCAGAAGGGGTGCTCAGCAGGCTGGGCAGCCACGGGCAGTGCCGAAGCCAGCAGTGCTAGGAGGTGAGGTAAAGGGGAAAGGGAGCCTAGAGGTGGCCCCCGAGACAGCAGGGCCCGCTGTGTCGCTCGCTGGGTGTCCGCTCTCTCACAACTCGGGGTGGTACTGTGGTGCAGGCAGCAAGGTTTAAAAGTCACAGATCCAAAAAACTGTGACAGGCATGTGAGGTGTCTAAGCTATGCCGCTCAAAGCCCCCAGGAAGGGCAGAGGTGCCCAGTGCCTCGCCAAGCTCTGTGTATTCAGAATTTCAGGTACATGGCATGTCAATCTGTGATAACACCTTGGCTCTGCCTTATTCTGGGACTTCTGCATGTCTACACAGCACGTGGGCATGAGACAGGATGCTGGGAGATCAGGGCATGTCCGCAGTGGGGCCCCATCAATGCCAGGAACGGTCCGCAGTGCAAGAGTCCCCAGTCCATCCCGGCACAGGGAAGGAGGCTGGGAGCCTGGCTTCTGGCCCAGTTACACCTTTGTGTGTATACAGAACATGCAGGATGATGTATGTTGTGGGGCTGTTTACAAACGAAATCAGGGAGGTGCAAAGGCCCAGGGCCCAGCCCTGCCCTGCCCGCCAACAGATCTGAGCGAGCTCCATTCACCTTCTTAGACTCCCATAACACTCAGGGCAAGGAACGGTTCTATCTGAAGGAGGCAATCTTCAGACATCTCAGAGGGGCAGACAGAGCTTCCACGTGGTGGGCATCCTCAACGCCCAGAGCCACACTGCACTCGTGTTTTCTCTCAATGACCTGTCTGTGCATCTTTCCTGGACTCCTCTGGGTCCTCCCTATGGCCTTCTAGGGCCCAGGTTGCCTCTGCAAGCCAAGGCCAGCCCTAGCTGGGCAAAGAGGCATCTGCCTGTGATCTGGCACTCTGGGAAGCTGAGGGAAGAGGATGGCAAGTTCAAGCCCAGCCTAGGCAACTTAGCAAGACCGTATCTCACAATAAAAAATACAAAAAGGGCTGGGAAGATAGTTGAGCATCAAGACCCTGGTTCAATCCTCAGTACTACAGGGCAGTAAAAAGAAAACAACAGCCATCCCTGAATGGCAGGAGGTGACATCAAAGGGACTGGGTCATCCAATTGGCACCGCAGACACCCTCAGCCCCACAGACCCTGCGAGGGCTGACTCACAGCACAAAGAGGTCCTCTTCACAAGGGTTGTAGTCTTCCTCCAGCTCCTGGGAGTATAACAACATCTGCCTGCCAGAAGGAGATCAACATCAAAAGGCGGTAAGGCCACAGGACGCCAGACACAGGCCTGGCAGTGCAAGGGGCCACGCCTCACCGGAAGCAGCAGCAGACCCCACACACTGGCCAGGGTGAGGCAGAGAGAGAGGGCACAGGTGGGATCCACACCCAGGGCTCATGGCCAGCCCTGCCCCTGGGAACTGCAGCATGATGATTTTTTAGTTGTCCTGACTGGGGAGTGGCAATGGGACCAGTTATCTCACAAGACAGCCAGACTACTGAGAACTGGATGAGATAATACAATGCAGAAAGAGCAGCAAATAGCTCAGTGTGTGAAAGGCACAGAGGCCGGGGGTTCAATCCCTAGGGATGCCGTGCCGGCCCCACCTCCAGGGTGTGCAGAGAGGGCAACTGAGACTGGGCGTGGTGGCATGCGCCTGTGATCCCAGCTCTTGGGAGGCTGTAAACAGGCGGATCACTGAGTCTGATCTAGTAGTGAGACCCTGAACACCCTGTAGACCCTTCCCTAAAATTAAAAAA